CAGCAAAGCCCACCCAGCCACAGGTCACAGATCAAAGAGCAAAGGGAAATGCCACCTCCTTGCCCCTCCCCACGCCACTCCAGAGCTGAGTGGGTGTGAGAGAGACCGGGGCCATGAAAGTGGAGGTTTCTGGAGGCAGTGATGGGTGGAGGCCTCAGGTAGAGACCTAGAGGCAGTTGGAAGTGTGTCCAGTTGGTTTACAACACCACAGTGTGATCTTTGAGACCTACAGGTGGTTCGAGGAGTCTGGAGACACAACCCCAAAATTCACACCCTACACACACACACACACACATACACACATACACTCACACATTCACATTTACATATAGATACATGAAAAAGCAGAACATGAGAAAAAAGCATTTTAAAAGTTTACTCCAATGTAAACAAATATTTTTAATTGTCTATCACTTGAGTCTTTATTTGAATCAGTATTTTTTGAGACCAGAAATGTTCATTTGAATTAAATATTGTCATAGACTTAATTGACGTCTGTCCTGACACTTTTTATGTTTTGATTTTGTACTGTGTGAAGTAATTACATTGATTAGAATTAGATCTGATAAAAACACAAATTAGAGAAGTAAACTGAATAATTGCGCTTGCTTTTGTCTGAGGGACATTAGCAACAGCATGAATAGATATTGTCTTTAAAGTAGAATCAAAGTGACTAACCATAGAGAGTAACTACTGCATAACAAGCTGTGTACAGGAACTGTGAGACTGCACCATTGACCAGAAGTGCATCGCAAATGACTTGATGTGCTTCAAGTGAAAGGACTGTATCTGGAGATCCTGATGTGCATCTGGAGAGACCAGAACCATGGCTTGGACCCTACTGATGTCCAAGATGACATCTCTCTATGACCTGACCTGATGACGACTGAGACTCACCCTCAGGGGACCCTGAGGACCTGAGGACCTCAGAGAAAAAACTGGGGAGTGATGTTTATATTTTTGAAATCATACATTGATGAGTGCTAAATGAGAGAGATACTCATGATTCTTTCTTTTGTTTTTGTTTGTCCCTAGCTTCTGGACATCTGATGATCTATTGGACACAGCCATTTGCAGAACAAGAACCAGCCAATGAAAACCGTCTATTGCCGATGCTCTTGCTACAACCAGAACCACACCTGTGAAAAATGCAATATACATGTTAAGTATTCAGACATCTGACAGACAAAAACTTTGAAAATGATAAAGTATGAGTATTGTAGCGTTTTAGTAGATGTTAAATAGTAGTAAAAAATAGAATAGAATTGTCCTTTCTTTGTTGTTCATAAACACATTTCCACGTAAGAGTTAAAATAGTACCCTACAATATTATCCTTCTGATAGAGCAGCTAAAATATTAGAATCAAAATTATTTTGCAGTCATTAAAAGTGACAGAAGTCACAAATTAGAAATATGCCTTTGCTCAAGCTGCAACCGAGCTTTGGAGTCACAATAGTGTAGAAATAGAATTAGATAAATGCATCAACCATAGATGCTTTCAAAAATAGAGAATATTTCTAGACATTGCTAATATCAAATGGTAAAGGGACCATTTCACAAGCATTTACTTCAAAAGTAGATAAAGTTCATTACAGTTTATGTACAGTTTTATTAGATACTTGCCAAATTCACTTCTGTTCAAACATTTGTGAATGTTGACAATACAAAAACTTCATGAGTGTAGCCTAGATTAATGCCTAGATTAATGAGATAGATTACAACCAACAGAGATTCAAAAGCATTTTGATGTATTTGTGTATAGCACAAAAACAGTATAGTAGATATTTAGATATTGAGAAATGTAAAAGTTGTTGATTTGCCAGCACAGATTAGAGAATCAAACACCATTGTAGAATAACTGACCCCAAACCTGCTAAAATAGATTAGCTCTTGTAAGGATATTAATAATTTGATTAATGATGTACATTCATCCCAAACTGCCTGAGAGGAGGAAGTGACAGCACTTCCTGGTTCAACAAATGTATTTGGAAAACTGACCGCCATATTAATGTTCATATTAACCATTTGCCTTTCTGTGTTCACAGTTTTATTCCTGAGAATGTAGAATAGACATAGAGCAAAATCCCACTGGCACAAAGCCACTGATAATGAGATTAAACCACAGAGAGATTTATAAGATTAAAATATATGTTTAAGAATATGGCTCAATATAAGCAAATATACAAACATATTTGTAAATAGATTAGAATAGTTTTAAACTATAGTGAATAGAGAGTAAAGTACACAGTCTAAGATTAGAATTAGTGATAATAATACAGTGAAATAAGATTGAGTGTAGTGTAAACAATTAGCATTAGAATAAAAGTATAGAGTAAGAAAAGTGAAATTAGCTTCTAATTTGAGACTCAGCTCGTTTTTGTCTGTGTTTTGACTGAATCTGCTGAGTTCTTGTGTGTCCAATAGTGTTTGTTTGTTTTTATTTTTGATTTGTTTTTGTTTGTTTATTTACTTTTTATTTTTTCCCAGGATAGAGGATAAAATCCACTGATATTGATTTGATGATTATGAGTTTAATGCATACATTTTCTTTGTTTTTAATAAAAAAATTTAAGGTTTTTTTTTTTGAATTTTTTTTTTTTCTTTTTCCACTTTATTGATTGATCAATTTGAGTGATCACATGTGATTATGTGATCAAAGGGGAGGGTGTTAGTATTAGATAGCAATATGGCCTACATGCAGGACTGTACAAGGACTCCATGTTATGACTATGATGTGACTGTCTCTTTGTGACACGTATGTCTTTCGATGTGTGACGTGACAATGACTATATAAACTGTGTACTGCCTTTATTCTGTCTGAGAGAAAGAAACAAAGGAAACCATTGGAACTTGAGAGAAACTTAAATAAACTTCCAGAGTTTGGCGCACCACGATCCGTCTCTGTCTGCTTCGTCCCTGACACAACTCCTCCCATATGCTTATTGTACTCAACAACTGGCCGAGGGCATGTAACATCCCGGGTGACCCATTTGCCGTCATTGTCTTTGAAGCGCCGTCTTACTGTTTCACCTTCGAAAGCCGAATGGATGGTGGAGCAGATGGAAACTTCACGGGAGTCCATCCACTTCACAAAAACCAGAGGGCCCTCTCTGATCCACCTTATTGTGCCCCTTTGTTCTTTCTTTTTCAAAGAGTTATTTTCAACGTGGGGACATCCTCTCCTGTTCTCCCTGTATGTGCCACAAGCACCGATGTTCATACTGAACAAGTCCATGAACAGTTTTGGGCTTGTGTAGAAATTGTCCACATACAATTCGTATCCGCCGCCCAGGAATGAGGAATTTACAAGTGAAATGACAGCATCGTATGCAAGTCCCACACCGGAGGAAAACTGGGACCTCCCCGTGTAAATAGCAAAGTCCACTGTATAGCCATTGCTGCTGTCTGCCAAGACAAAGAGTTTGAAACCCCACTTTGTCGGCTTGGCCTTCATATATTGCGTCATCCCTGTGTGGGCCTTTGTTGCCACCATCCTTTCATCAATGGCAATGTGCTGTCTTGGGTGGAAGTTTGTTTTGCATGCTGTCAGGATGGTGCCCAGAAGTGGTTTAAGGCCCTGTTTATACTGAGACGCTGCGCAGACGTTTCCAGGCTATTAACAGAAACGACCTGGCTCCTAATGCAAATTTCTCAGCGTTCACATGAGGTTGAAAAACGATGTAGTTCTAGCGCCCGGCCAGTAGTGGGCAGATAAACTTTACAACACGACACACGACCCCGAGCCCCGTGCCCAGCCCCCCTCTCGGCAGTATACTCACTTCCTGTGCCAGACCCTCAGAACGCACCAACATCATTCTGCATTTTAACAGCAGCTGTGAAAATGGAAACTGAACCTAGAGCTTCGCGTGGTCTCGTTTGGACGAACGAAGGAGTAGAGTTATCCTCTGTCCCGCGCTGGAAGCCCACGTAGCTAGTTTGTGTGGGCGGCGCCATTATTGTTGATGTTTGTTCTCCGCTACTGCGCATGTCCAAATTTACGTGCGGGGAGCAGCGCGGAGGCGGGGGTCAGAGCAGAGGGGGATTTCACACCTTTCCCCTCTCGCGGGTGTGAAAAAGCTCCCTGCTGTGCAGCGTTTCTGAGTTGTCCCACTCTGCAGGCTGGATCTGAACACTTACGTTTTCACCCCCCTGGAACACTGTCTTCGTATGAACGGTTGGTAGCAACCGACATCCAACTATACCGTTTTACTGCCACATTGTCTCCGTGTAAACTCAGCCTTAGTCTGAATAGTTTATCATGCTGGGGAGTTCCTTTCTTCAGGTCATTTTCAACATCCTGCTCCGGGTCGCTAATGTGGATGTTCCAGGAGATGATCTGGTACCGGTCTCGAAACATAACTTTGGCAGGAAAACCTACTGTGAGATTTCATAACACTTTTAAGCAACTTTTGTTAAGGTTAAACTCATCATTCTATCAATGTGCAGAAGCCAGTACTTTTCCCTTGTTTTGTCTATCTGAAGGCCAAGCTACAAGCACACCGTGGAAGCTGCTGATTGGAGGTCTCCATGCCTCCGCTCTGTATAATACACTTGCATTCTGTTGTATCTGTGATCGTGTGCTTTGTTCGTGCTGTCTCTACCATTGACAATAAAACATGTCTTCTGTCTGAATGAAAGACGCGATCCCAGACTTTGTCATCTTCTTCACTACACTGAAGATGGAATTTTGTCTCCAATAATCCCTGACTTTACAGAGCTTTAGTAGAGAAAAATAAAACATAAGTCCAATAAATTTGAATAGCTCTGTTTCATCCAGTGTCGTCCATTTGTATTTTTTCCCATTTGTAATGTTCTTTGCAGCCTGTTTGTGTTTGTGACGATATTGACTACAGCACTTTTGTCCACAAACAATGAAAACAAATCCAATGGACTATATGACGTGGTAGTAAGGAGCTGGTGTCCTGGTTTCCTTTTGGGTGTGAACTTTTTAGGCTGACAATTGGTGTTGGGATCCTGTTCACTGTTCCACCTGGCTTGATCAAGTGCAGGCCCGGGCCGTGGTGGAGATCTGCTGCGGGATGTAGAACTGTTGCGGCCTGTAGATCTGCTGCGGCCTGTAGATCTGCTGCGGCCTGTAGATCTGCTGCGGCCTGTAGAACTGCTGCGGCCTGTAGATCTGCTGCGGCCTGTAGATCTGCTGCGGCCTGTAGATGCGCTTCTACGTGTCGTTTGGCCCCTTGTTGAAGAGGAAGTGGGGGAGGGGAGCAGTGAAGGTGTTGGAGGTGTGAAGTGGGGAACAAAGGCAGTGGAGGTGCTAGCCGAAGAAGTGGACGGAAGTGGAAGCTCTTCACAGCTGAAAAAAAAGTAAAACAGAAACTAAGTAAACAAATGCAATAAAAAAACATGTGGTACATACATCATATCATTTTACTTTATCTATCATTGTCAATATAAATAATCAACACTTCATAGCTGTAAAATATGTAAAACAATAGAAACTAAGTAAAACAATAAAACACTTACTCTTCAGCCGGATCCTGGCGATCACAATAATCAAACTCTTCATCAGTGTAAAAACTTTCTGGCTCAGACCCTGAATCTTCATCACTGGCGCAGATTAGATCAAGAGCTTCTTCAGTTGTAAAGAATTTCTTTGCCATTTTGAACAACTCTTTTGCGAAAAGAAACAGAGGATTTAGGTGCGTCTGTCTCTGGTGCGCGTCTGCTGTAAATAGAGGAGACGCGACTTCTCACCTCTGTGTGACTGAGAGCACACGTGACCATTTCCAGTTCTTTTTGTGAAATAAAAAAAATCAACAACAACGGGTAATAGGGCTTACAGTAACATGAATAACAGTAGAGTTCACATTTTTCACAATCCCGATAAAATAAGTCTTTTACGCATCAGTAATTACTATCACAGCCGTAGTTTCGACCATAGGGACGAACCTGTATATGCGGAGGAGTAATTATCACTCTCCCTGCTGATCTTTGTCACCGGCATGAGCGAAAACAGCGTTACGATTGGATTTTTCATCTCACATGACATCGCTCAAAGATCCGATTGGACACTGACTTTCCAATAGACATAGAATATCCTCTGTGCGTCACACGGACAATCCGGAACTAGTTTCATGGAGCCTGACGTGTCTACTTCACGGGGGAAAAAAGAGTAAGTGGCTATCAGGGCTCCAGACTAACTTTTTTCATGACCGTCCCGACACTGTCCCGAAAACCATTTGGCATCGTCCCAAAATGGATGTGAACCGTCCCGAATTTAATATGTATATTTTAATACATTTTTTAAATTATACATTTATTTTAAATGTATTTTGTTTGTTTATTTTTTTTTTGTTATTTGTGGACGACAGTAGCTCAGTTGGTAGAGCATTGGCCTTCAGGCCTGAAGGTCGATGACTGCTGTCGTTGTGTCCTTGGGCAAGACACTTAACCCCACTTTGCCCAAAGCCCCCGCTGAAAGATCAAGGCTATGCTCACACTCAGAGAGCAGCCGTCCTCCTGTGGACTCACCACCTGCAGAGGGTCAGTGAGGGGCTGGTGCTATGAGACTTGGGTGGCATCTCTGACTGCCACCCCCCTGACCCAGAAATGGATTAAAGGGTAGAAAATGGATGGATGGATGGTATTTTTATTTTTGTTTTACACAACATAGTGTGTAAATAAATGAGTCATTTAACAATAATGCAATTTATTGGTAAAACATTCTTAAACAATAAATACAAATCGCGCAGACCCACTTAAATTAGAGTAAAATCATCAGAGGCCAAAACTACAGAAACAGATTCAATTCGCACAGACTCACATCATCAACTGAATAATGTAAAACACTTGTTAATGTTAAAGGAACTAGATGCTAGTTGGCCATTTTATACTCACGACTGCCACCTCAGGTCAAATGTGTAACTGCACCTTCTGCAAGACGCCACTTCAGACCCGAATTAACACCTTTCTGAGTGACAGTGCAGGATTTTAGAGGCAGTTGTGGTGAACAGGTCTGAGCTAATTCCACATCTTAGGAGATGGCTGGAACATGTAGGGGGAGGAACATACCTAGTTTTAACATTTTTCCACTCTGTATATTCACTGATTATTTATTGATTTATGTAAAAGAGGGTTTATAAGACGTCATACACCTCATAACAGTTGTAAAGGCCAGGTTATAAGAAAAGTAGAAAAGTAGGCCTATTACACAATGTAAAATAAAATGTGCAGTTTAAATTTTGATAGATCAGGTGCATTGGTAAATTGCCAATCCTAGCTTTACAAACATTAACTTCAAGGAGCGCTGGCTGCATGTTGTATACCGATCATGGATCTATAATAATATCGACACAAAGCCGCACATTGTCTTCCCATGAGGCCAATGGAGCGGGCGATGCGTTTCAGCTCTGTGCGCGCCTCCACCACATGCTTTTATTTCACTTTATTAACGTATCAGCCTTTACACTACCGCGTGTGGAATAAAATTTGGTTCTTTCTCTGTTTGCTTTGAGTTAACAGTAGACCTCTAATGGCACGTACACCACGGAGCCAGAGAATGCACGGACATTATTAATGCTATAATGTGTTGTATTAAAACACGCGCACCAAGGCCACAAAAGGCCTCTGTAGTACCGCTGTTTATTTCTCTGTTTTGTATGCTAACGCTAAATAATACGAACATTAGCAACATCTGTGCCATAATAGATATAGCTAATGTCCGTATTATTTAGTGTTAGCATTTGTTAGGGTAACGAATGCAATAAGAAGACAGTTTAATATTTCTATTAGTTGAGCAACTACGCATTCATTTGAAATAACGTATCCTTATAACAGCGGCGCAATTTTGGGTAGGCCTGCAGATTAGTAAGTAGGCCAAATTCGCTCGCAAACTACAAGGGGTAGCTGGAATTGGGGTTTCAAAGAATATGGTTCAAACGCACGTACGCACACATGCACGCACACGCACTCAAGCACACACATACACACAAGCTCATTTATGAAACTTGCGGAGAAAAAGGTGTACATTTTGGGTGTATATTCCATTTACGCAAAATCCAACGTCGGATTTATGAACATGAGAGATCCGCCCAGATCTGAGCGTACGCAGCTGCGGGTGTTGATAAATCGGCTGAATACGAACGTATTTAGTCACGCCTAGAATTATAGTCTTTGCGACAGGTCAGCAGGAAGCCGGCCAAAAAGACTGTTTGGAAGCCTTAAAAGGCACGTTTGTTTGTTCATCTTTATGTAATAATAATTATACGCTATATATTCAGCTGCGTTATGAACAAATTTGCAAAAATGTTTTGATACATTAGAAAAATCTCTCTTGAATTGTAGAAGTGAATAAATATACAGTAGATTGATTGAATTAATTAATGAATTCATGTATATTATGCAGCGGTGGCTCTCATGAATGAAGCGTCTGCAGCGTCTTGGACGCAGCCTGGCTCGGGGTAGAAGTGCGCATTGAAGCGCTGTACACTTCAGAGAGCGTTTGCGGTCCAGATTTCACAAAGAAACTCTGGAGCCAAAACACGGCACTCGCTGCGCACTCTGGACAGGGCAGTGAGACATTTGGAGTGAGCAATACCGGTGCTTTAATGGGGTGTGTGTCTGTGTGAGGGTTACACAAATCTAATGAAATAACACATTGCTTTACCAGATGTGAATGAGGAATACAAATAGCAGTGCAGAGCCTGCCACAGCAATAGATGGGTCACACATCCCTGTTGCGTAAAGTGTATTTGTTTAGAGCCTTTCACTGTCCAGGATCACAAAGCGCTTCACATTTTCGCGCTGTGTGATATACATGGTCAAACAGCGGGAAAATGTTTGCCCATGATTCCGCGTCAATTAAGAGCAGAACAGAATTCCCTGAGCGGGAGCTCTCGCTCTTTAATATGGAACAGGGGAGCATTAGCACTCGCTTACACAAATATATTGCCGGTTTTAAAAAGAAAAATTGGTTAAAGGCTTTCCGTCCCGAGATCGTCCCGGGGAGGATTTCATCTCGTCCCGTGCATTTTTTTTCCCGTCCCCGGGACGACGGGACTATGTTAGTCTCGAGCCCTGGTGGCTATGATATACCGTTCGCGAGTAAAGTGATGACTTGTAAAACATGTGCGCGTGCATCGGCGCCGATGCAAGCGGGTTTATAGGGTTAGGTACTGGCTTTTTGTGGTCATTCAGTTATGTACCAGCTATTTTCTTTTTGTTATACTGAATGTTGAGGGCAGATTTTTGATAATTGTTTCTCTTTGATATTTATTTTAATGTTATGATAAAGGTGTAATATTTAATACTGATTTGATTCTTATGACCAAACTCAGAAGTTATGTTAAGAAAAAAACAAGCAATATTTTTGGTCATGTTATAATAAAAACATTTTAAAGTAATACTGGTTGCAAAATTTGTAATGCTCTGAAAATATTGGATTGGATCGGTATCGGATCAGTATCGGCAAACAATATTTTAGAATATCGGAATCGGATCGGAATGTAAAAAATCTGTATCGGTACATCCCTAGTTTATATTATCAAAAGGGTAAATTGTTGTAGAAATCTAACTGGGATTATAAATCAATTTAATTTAAGGGTGTATTCAGACATGAAAAGTCCTTTGCTCCGCTTGCTTGATCCGAATCAAAAGCGGACCAAACTTTTTTCTTTTGCTCCGGTTCGTATTCAGACTGTCCTTTTTGCAAGTGAACTTTTTTATATAAACATATTGACACGTGTGACGATCGGCGCTCCTATTGGACAGCAAGAGCTCACGGAGGATAGACGCGGAACCGGCAGAAACCATTGAGGGCTCGTATGTGCAGCATGTCTGCTCTGCCTATGTTTGCTCTTTTTAGAGCAAAACCACCTTCAACAGCAGCTCATATGACGCAGGCGAAACACGTTGTTTTAAATATTGGAACAGCGTCGGAGAATGCGTGAGGAGAAAGCCGAAGGAGACTGTGCGCTCCGTGCCCTGTCCCACACATGGATCTATGATAATAACTCTGTCCCACACATGGATCTATGATAATAACTCTGTCCCACACATGGATCTATGATAATAACGGCCCTGTTCAGCATTGTGGATAAACCATGGATCTATAATAACCACGGGACAAACAGACGCTGAGGATCAGGTAGGAACCAAAGAACACAATTCACTACATGATGCAGAATATTGCTCTTTGAGACGTGAGTCAAACAGTATCAGGCTTTTAATAATGTAAATGGTTTGAAGATGCTGCCATTAACATCAATGTATACTGTGAACAGTTGTAACTCCATAAGCCTGTTGCACAGCGTCTCCTCACTGCTCCAGGTCTGCACACGGCTCAGTGTTGTTGTTGTGTAGCGTTAGCAGCATAGTTAGCAGCTGTGACGCGCTGCTAATTCCTCACAGTTTCTGTCTGCGGCTTGTTAAGCCCAAAAAATGCGCACGTATCTTGGAGTTGTGTCGGATCGACACCGGATGTATTCAGACCTGATTCGACTTGGACCAGAATTCGTTTGGAAGCGGACCGAGACCACCTCAAAAAGTGGGTCTCGGTTCGGTTCTTTGGTCCGGACCAGGATTCGTGTGTGTGTATTCAGACCTGCATAAAAGCTTCGGATCAGAGTTCCAAACGAATCCTGGTCCGTTTAAAGTGGAGCAAATGTGCAGGTCTGAATACACCCTAAGAATGAATCTAATGATGAAATAGGATATCTGGGACAAAGTTCAAAGCTAATCAATCTGTTCAAGCTAACTAATCTGTTGTGCTGTAGATGCGAGGCCAA